AATGTATGACAAAAACCACTACAATATTGTAAAGTAATTAGCCTCTAACTAATAAAAATAAATGAAAAATAAATAAATAAAAAAATATAAAAATATAAAACATGCAAGAAATGCTGTAATTCTCTTGTTTAAAAATTCAGTGATATAAAGCTGAAGGAGACCACTCAGTCCTGGTAACCAAGCTTTATAACCAGTGAGGCCAAGAAATGAAGCAGGGAAACTTCAAAGATGCTTACTGTAGGTCTAACCAGAGAACCTGGGGAAAGGGAAAATTTTCACATAAATCATACACAAACAACCCTTTTAAAATCACCAAATAAACTGCTAAAAAAGAAAAGCAAGGGTAAGCTTGTGCCAGTTTTATACTGGCATGTGTATCTGTAGAACTGTAATACACATTTTGAAAGTCGCTCAGTAGTGTCTGACTCTTTGCGACCCCATGAACTATACAGTCCATGGAATTCTCCAGGCCAGAATACTGGGGCAGGTAGCCTTTCCCTTCTCCAGGGGATCTTCCCAACACAGGGACTGAACCCAGGTCTCCTGCATTGCGGGCAGATTCTTTACCAGCTGAGTCACAAGGGAAACCCTTTAGTCTGTCCCTTCCCCAGGGGATCGTCCCAACCCAGGGATCAAACCAGGTCTCCTGCATTGCAGGTGGATTCTTTACACATTTTACATGAAATGAAAAAAAAAATCAGTTTTTAAATTTCAAATTTCATTATAAGGCATCAGCCAGCTTCATAATCCATCTTTTACTCACTTTTTGAGATAAAAAGAGACGATATTAATGTTATTTCATACCACTCTCCAAGTCCATGTGTAAGTTAAGCAAAGATTAATTAATATCCTAATCATTAAGCTACATTAATCTAAGCCAAGTAACTGAACTGTGCAATAGGACATTTCAAAATGTATGACTTCCACTGTGCCTGACACGTTAATGAATTTTGGTGACACAGAATATAACACTGACTTAATTTGTAATCTTTCATTAATTTTCTCCATTTTATTTCACAGCATCCATTACAGCAAGTTTTTAATGTGTCATACTTCAAAACAAACTCAGAAAAGATAATTTATAACTTATATTTTTCATTAATTTAGAGTTGGTCTAATCCAAATTAAGTATTTTACCATACTACGTATTCTTCACAGTGTAACAATTACTGTTTCAAGTCCCATCTTTCCAATACTCTTTAAAAATATCTTGGCACTATATCCTAAAAGATTAGAAATTTTGCTGTGAAAAAAAAAAGTTTAAATGTATTCATCTACTGTCTTTAGTCTAGCTTTGACTCCACCGAGTACTTAAAGATGGGTGGATACACATACACACAGATAACATAAGGGATCACATTTGAAATATAGTGTATTTTTAAAATAATTTGTGTTGATTTATATATCCTGTGTCATAGATATTTCAGTTTAAAGATTCCATCTAAAATAGACATTTTCTGGGAGTTGCTCCACGGGAATTCCAGAAGAACACTGTAATGTTTATACTCGGTGGAGTATGTATCCACAAGTAATTGAGCTCAGCATGGAAACTAAAATAAGCCTTTCAAGTATTTAAAATAAATTTTCCAACATCATCCCAAGGTGAAAAGTGATTTCTGGTCATGTTTTCATTCCTTCCCAAGTATATACTGCAAAGAATTTCTCATTAGTAAGGCTTTACATAAAATCATATGTCATGACCTGATGATATTTCCTGGTGATAGCTTTAAACCACTTAGTCTTAACTTTCTTGTGAAATACTCTTGCTAGGTGTATGAGAGTCAGCTTCTGGACCTGTGTGAAAAATTTAACAACCAAATTTTAGCTAACTTAATGATGGGACCTAAGGTACTCAAATTCGCTAAGAAAAAAGGAGCAGCACTTGATAACTATAAACAGATTAATCACCTAAAAAAGCAACCAATTAACATTTATTTCTCTCATACGCAAAAACTTTCAATGCTTTACCACTGAAAATATACTCAACCTCCTAACTTGCCATAGGCCGTCCTTCACAATCTCGCTAAACCTTAACTCTGAGCATCACAGCAAAAACTCCACCCCACCTGCCTGGACTGCCCCTTTTCCAAACATACTTTCATCTCCCTGACACCTATTCACACTGTCTTCTACTCCCAGAATGATAATCCTGATGCCCCTCCTCTGGTCTACGGAGATTATGGTCCCTTCAAAGCCTACTCTGTTCTACTCGATGAAACCTTCTCTGATCATCTCTACAGTAAAGATTTCTTCCCTGCTACAGTATTTTGAATGTTCCACTCCTACAGTGTTTCCTGAAGGGGCTGAACTGAGAGCAAAGACAGCTACTCACCAACTGAACACCAACCTCTGGACGGTGGACAAGAGAGCTGCTCCCTGGACCAGCCACGGCTGCTTGGTGGCTCTCTGTTGGTTTTACTGCAGGTGTTCACCGTGCAGGTGCTAACTCACACATGTAAAGGTTGCATTTTCCTACAATCGGCAGCAGAGGCTGTAGGGAAGTAAATAGAGCTGTCCTTTAAGGCCAAGGAATTTCTAGGAAACTGCAGTGATTTAAGAGGCTAATTCTGTTCTCAACCTAGGGCAAGACAAAGAAGGAAGCAGTAAACGAGAGCATGAAGAAAGCCCTACTTCAAATGTCTATTCTCTCTTCTCTAGGATGACTGGAGGTTGTGAGGGAGACAGATCATATGTCGTTTTCCTAGAATGCTTGGTCAATTCTCTAATTTCCTAAAAATGGGCAATAACTCAGGAATCAGACTACTGGGCTATAAAATCAGGAATGTATACTGAAAGCAACCTGATCCAGGTAAGCTCATGTCAAATTATTTTCACATAGAGAATAAAACCCATTGTTCATGAGCTAGTGACTAAAAGCCTCATAACAGCTAGAAAAGAAAAACTTTTAAAAATTTTCTAAAAAAATAAATAAAAAAGTAAAAATTTTCTTTACCTTTATTGCTGCCATTAGTTTTAACTAAGAAATGACAATGACAAATAACTACTGATTATCCCTAAGATTAATAAAATCTATTTTTTTAAAATTTTGAAAGTGATACAATGAACTTATTAGCATCACTGGTAGCTCAAATAACAAAGAATACACCTGCAATGCGGGAGACCTGGGTTTGATCCCTGGGTTGGGAAGATTCCCTGGAGAACAGAATGGCAACCCACTCCAGTATTCTTGCCTGGAGAATCCCCTGGACAGAGGAACCTGACAGGCTATAATCCATGGGGTCACAAAGGGTTGAACACTACTGAATGACTAACACACACACAATGAACTTATAAGAAAACATCATAAATTTGTTTGCAGTCCTTATGCAGTTTACTAGAATGAAAATTTCATGTAAAAGACTGATGTAGATTAAAACTCATCCCATAAGTAAACCTCATTCTGAAAAGTAAAACAGACTTTGGGTGTCAAAGTTATTCTATAAATTATAAAAACGAAAAGAAATGCTAACACATATACACATTAATGCTTGATGCGCTTTAAATGACCATTTTAGACTTAACACCAACCTAAAAAAGAAAAATGTCCAATTAAATATCTATGAACAGAAAAAAAAAATCACTTCATTTAAAAACTCTTGAATATTTATGCTTTTTAAACCTCTTTCTAACTCTCAGTACACATTTCCAGTCCAAAATAATTAACCTAATTAAAAAAACAAACACAGAATTCCCTGGCAGTCCAGTGGTTAGGACATAGTGCTTTCACTGCTGGGGCCCAGGTTCCATCCCTGGTTGGGGAACTAAGATCCCAAAAGCTGTGCTGCATGTAGCAAAAAAAAAAAAAAAGGAAAGAAAATGGCTTTTAGTTTACAGATGCCACTTGTATAGAACACTGATGCCTGCTTGTTGGTTTCAGATGTGAAAGTGAACAGCCTAGCCACGTGGGCACAGAACTTACCTGCTTTGTGACAGTTCAATTAGTGAGCTTCCCAAAAGACCTCAAGCAGGGCTCATAGTTTCTGACCTAAAATTTAGATGGGAAACTGTTCTGAAAACCAGTACAATCTCTGAGTTCTGAGTAGCATGAATAGTGACTGTCTAGCACCAACATTACAAATAGGGCACTAAACGCCAGGCCCGCCTGACCCTGCAGTTTCCTGTGGGCCTCATCTAATCGTCACTGCCACCTGGGAAAGGAGACACTGCTAGCACCCCCATTTCACAGACGAGACCCAAAGAGACAGGGGTTCATCACCAAGTCAGTCTGGCTCAAGTCTGTATTCTCCGACACTATACTATTTGCTTCATAAACTGAAAGTCACTCTACAGGGAATATAAAGGAAATTATATTTCAGTATTATCTATTTCCCACAGGGAGAAAGGAATTCTCAAATAACACTGAAGGAATATTAGAATATCACATACTAGTAGAAAAAGGATTTTATTTTTGAAGATAGAAAAACTAATTAATATTTTTAAATACAGAGTACCAATATTTTTATCTATTTAGCTTAGAATATCTAGAATGTACTAACTTAAGTGTCTACATTCATCTCTTTTAAAAATATGAATGTTTTTGGAAATCAGTACCAATATGTTTTTATTTATATGTGAAAGAATATTTGGAAGAATACAAAATGAAAGAGTACTATCAAACTTCTCAACTTTATTGTATTCATTGCCTACGTATGTACATATCTAGAAGTCCCTTTAAATGATTTACACCCAGAGACTGATGTGGATATCAACAATGGTTTGATTCTAAGACTGAGTTTTCCCACCTGCTTTGTATATTTTATCTGAAGTACATTCTAATCTTCTTTCACCTGTTCCTATGGCTAGCGTTTTCATATGGTGCCACTGCTTTCAGACTGAACATATTGCAGAATCTCAGACCAGTTTAAAGGGCCCAACAGGAAGATCATGAGAAGAGAGACACTGGATGAAAGTATGACTTGGCAGGGCTTCGCACGGTTCTTCCAGGCAGTCAGCAACCAGCTTACAGGACAAAACCAGTTCTGAAAGCAAATAAACAGCCATCATGCCTGAGTGCTAATTGCTCTTCTCCCATTAGTGGCTGTGGAATTTTCTGCACCGCTACTTTTTATGGAATCCAACAAGTTTTTAATTCTTTCACTTGCAGGCTTCTTTTTCTTCTTGGAAAGAGACACATTATTTGCTACAGAAGGTAGCAGCAGGGCTGCCAACCCCCAAGGCTGATTACTTGATGGCGAAGGGCGGTCTTTACCTTCCTGATGTAAAATCCAGGCACTTTCTCTGGCCAGATCCACAAATTTTTGCAGTTGGCTTTGACTTACATTTTTGCTAACGTTGAGAGAAGTTTCAAAAGGATTCTGAATGTGCAGCGGAGAAGATTCTGGTTTGTTCTGTTCCTTTCCCTGTAGATCATTACCGGGAAGAAAAAGATGTATGAATATATTAAGGGCTCAGATATAAAAACTGTTTGGTTTAATAAAATGTCAAAAGCACATAAAACACCAGCACTAACTTTACAGAGTAAAGGATCCCTTCCCCAAGGGAGCTCGGTATGTATGCATGTTATGTGTTACTGTATGTGTGTGTACTTCTGACTGGCTTTTTCCACTGTAGTTTTATGAGTGCTCTTTAGAGAAAAATAAATTAGGTTTATGAGCTATGGATGATGATGTCACTGCTCCGATGAGAGGTATCTGGACTAAGTCAACCAATAAAAGTATTTTTAACATAACGTTTATCTAACAGAGTAGAGCTGGGAAGGAAAAAAAATATGGAAAAGAAAAATGGCAGAAGATAGTTATTTTGGGGACTTCCTAAAAACATACCTATTACACACAAAATAGAAGCACACAGAGTTAGAAGCCTTAAATTAAATATAATAATTAATGTTTCACAAGTATGAAATGAGAAAGGAAGAGAAGGAACAAAGGATTATTCATTACGTATTTTAAAACATTAAAAGCTTCCTATGTACATTCCTAAAGATTAGACTTAAATAAGGCTCTGCCAGGTGAGATATCTCATAGAATTAAAAAGAAAAGCCAGAGCTGACTCATGAACATCAGTGATCCACTAATCTATATAATCTTTTCCTCTTTCAAATGATATCACATACATAAATACTACAAAACCAAGTCAGGAGTCTCCAATGTGAGCAGCCCCTGTTAACTCCCTAATGCCTCTCAAACCACTGTCCAGCAGGGGTTCTGCCCTATCATTATCTCTGAGCCCTGAGTAGTGACGGTATATATAGGGGAAAGCACTTCCTGTGTTCTATGACCTTTTTCTTCTAGACTGCATTCCAGAGCTCTGTGTCTCTTACCCTCTCTATCCCACACTTTTCCTCTCTTTTTTTCTTTTTTAAGCAAAGTCTCCATGAACAGGATGAGGGTCAGGAAGGATGAAAAAAGGAGAGTTGAAAAACAACAAAAAAGAATATCTGAGTATGTGTTTTATAAAGCCAGTCTTACATGGGCTGTAACCAAATATCCACATGCTAAACAGAATAAACCTGGAGGCCATCTCACGTATCCTCCACTTGTAAACAGATTCTGCTTGGAGTTTGCTCTGATGGCTCTTCTTTTATGGAAAATGTCTGTCATTCCACCTACTCAGATGAACCAAAATCATAAATTCACTTGCCTAAGTAAATTAAACCCTAAGAGCTCAAACTGAGGGAATTATTAAAATCTATCTTTGGGACTAGGTATTCCATTTCTTCCACAGAAACTCAATCTGGTTTAAAGAGAAGTGTATATGAAATTATGCTTTCTAAAAAAGTTTTTAGAATATATTCCATATTTTGAGGGATACAGTCTTAGTAGTAGGTGATGACAAAGATATGGCAAACTGACATAGACAGATGCTGAAAAGAACTGGTCTACTACATGATATCTTAGCCCAAGTCATGTAGCTCCACTAGGTGTCAATTTTTTTATTACTCTCTATCATCATAGAGTTGACATGCAATGACATTTGTTAGAATGCTTTGAAAACTACACTCATTAAATATTAGTACAGTAGAAGACCATATACCTAATAACCAAACATTTAATAGTACTTACCTGTCGAATATTAATGGAATTTTTATTGAACGCGAAATTTCCAAAATACTCAAAAAATTCTTTCAGTAGTAATTCTGTAAGAAAATAAAACATGGAAGATAATAAGAAAGTCTATTTCAGTCCAAAAAGGAACAAGAAAAAGGAAAACACCTACCTAGTGTTTCCGTGTTTCCTGAAGGTTTAATTCTATTCAAGTCACGAACAAATGTACAGTTGTAGCCTTCTATTATACACTTATCTTCTGCATCTTAAATAAACAGAAATGGAAAATATTTTACATTCTGTTTCAAAGATATTCCCTACTTCAGAAATTTATAATCACACAAATCAAAGCTATAGATTAACATGTCCTATTCTTGGTCAGGGTTTTTTATATATAGTATATATAGCAGGATTAAAACTCCATTAAAAAGGATTTGAGAGCAATTATGTTACAGTAAAATTAACCTTACATGAACTTTGGTGAACAGACTGTCCATCAACACTCAATGATTCATAATCTATCCTCTGAGGTCATCAGTTTTCTAGTAATAAATGAAAATGTAGACCATTCCCATCTTTCACCCCCTTAAATCCTGGTACTACCTTTGATCAATTATATTTAATTTAGATCTCCATTTTCAGTCTTATTATCCTTTTGTGTATTTACTTTCAACAACTCATCCAAGACACATACAAACTGAATGTTCTAAGAGATCTGAAAAACTTCTGGTAATTTCAGAGAGGCGGGCCTCTGCAGTGACTGGGATTCAGCATGACTCATTTAAAAGCACAGCAGACTCACACAATTCACCTTTCCCAACAGTATTTACATCTTTAGAGGGAATTGTTTCCCTAGTTACGGATAAATATACACCCACCATGAAATCCTTCATCCATTCTAATCCACCTTCCACTGTACAACATGCAGGCAAACAAACTCCCACTCTTAGAAGTCTAATCAACCGCCACTAAAAGGGCTTTCTCCTTTCCTAACCGGAAGGGGGCGCCCAGCCTTTTGTTCTGTGCTCCATCAGCAAGCACCTGACCACACCATGGCTGCAAGCATGCTATCTACTCCATGACCCCAGTCTGGGACTAGAGAGACCACTGTCCAGTCCAAGGCAGTGATGACCTTCCCTCTTCCTACTGGCCAGTCCACAACAACAGTGTCCAGCATACAGCCGGCACATAACCAAGAATCTAATGTTCGCTGATATTTGACTTTGAATGATTATAATAGCCAGAGAGAAATTCAGAAAGAGATAAAACAAGGTTTCTTCAAACTACTGCCTCCCTTTTTTTGGTGTGGTTTTGGGTTTTTTTTTTTTTTTGGTTAAAACCCTGGTTATTGACTTAAGTACTCAAAAATCGTTCCAGACTCTAACACTGATTCTAAATTCTAAAACTAATTGTTACTCATTTTAACAGCAAATTTTATGTGCACTGTTATACAACTGAAGAATTTATATACAGGTCCATTTAGATTTATTTGTCCTGGGACCCAGGCACATGCCTTATTATTTCAAATTATCAGCAGGCCAGTCATATATACTGATGCTCTTTTAGCTGCTGTGTCTTTATTTTTCTTTTTTTCAGGAATATATTTCCAACAAAAAAGTAAATCCACATTAAAGTATATCTACATTAAAGTACTGAATACTTCTAGGAATGTACAGTGATGAAAAACAGACTGTGTCTATAACTGTTGGTCTTCACCAGAAAAAGTTTTTAACAGAAAGTAGTAAAACTTGAAGGAAAAAAACGATCCCCTGATTTAAGACAGGGCCAGTTTTGTTTTTTCAAAACCCCTAAGGCATTCAAACCCAGGAAACAACCCCGCTGTTAAGTCTTCTCCCTTTTTACTCTCACTCCTGTTTTTCTGCTATTAAGCTAATATATAAATGACAGCCATTAAAATAAAAAATTCAGTTCCTTAGTCACACTAATATATGGTTATATTTCAAGTGCCTACTGAAGCTGAAACTTCAATACTTTGGCCACCTCATGAGAAGAGTTGACTCACTGGAAAAGACCCTGATGCTGGTAAGGATTGGGGGCAGGAGGAGAAGGGGATGACAGAGGATGAGATGGCTGGAAGGCATCACTGAGTTGATGGACATGAGTTTGGGTAAACTCGGAGTTGGTGATGGACAGGGAGGCCTGGCGTGCTGCGATTCATGGGGTCGCAAAGAGTCAGCCATGACTGAGCAACTGCACTGAACTAGCCACAGGTAACAAGTGGTTGCCAAATGGACAACGTGATGACAGGAAGCTCTACCGAACCATGCTGCTGTAGAGACATCATTCTCAACCTATTCAAACATATGACACCCTGTTGTATGTGTACATGCTCAGTCGCTCAGTCATGTCCAACTCTTTGCGACCCCATGGACTGTAGCCCACCATGCTCCTCTGTCCACGGGATTTCCCGGGAAGAACACTGGAGAGGGCTGCCCTTTCCTACCCTAGGGGATCTCCCCAAATCAGGCACGTCTTCTGCACTGGCAGGTAGATTCCTTATCGCCCCACCACCTGGGAAACTCCTATGACACCCTATTTCTCTCTGCTCATTTCTATGGAAATTACTTCTTAAAAGTATTGTATGAAACACTGGTGATCTACAGACAAGGTCAAGTCCTATTACCCCTCCCACCAGGCCACACATGCCAGTGACACTCAACTCCTCTGGGTGGCAACTACATGTTGTTTCAGAGCACATGCTCTGGGGTAAAGATGGTGATATAAACTCAGCATCTACCTTCACCCGAAAGCATTACTGAAATGAGAGTAAAATGACATAAAATCTTAAAGATGGAGAATAGGAAAGACAAGAGCAACCAAAAATTTTACGTTGAAGAACTGATGGACAAGCAGCAATGACTGAAAGAGATCTGAGAACACTGGGTCCTAAACCAGCAGTAAAGAAAGCCAAGAAGAAACCAGACATTCAGGCAGAGCCCCCAACAGCTTGGCAGCTGAAGTGCCAGATCTGACCAGAAGGACCCAGCCTGGATGCCTGATGCTTAGAGCAGTGAGACCCCCAAGTCTCTTCCTGACAGAAAATGTCAGGTTTACCCTGGAGACAGTACAAGAAAGAATCTCTATTCTGGGAGATGCAAGACACGTTTGAGGGTGGGAAAACTGTTCTAAACACAATAAATCGTGTAATAAATGCCAAAGTTTCAGCATGTTAGAAGCCAGGCCTTTTCTTCCAGAAAAAAAGACTGAAAGAGCATGTTCTAACATAGGAAACTTAGATGATGCAAAAAAAATTTCAGCCAAGTGCCTGGAACTCAATGAATTGTCACTGGGTCACGGAGAATGAGCAACTAAAGCTCTCTTCTATGTTGGGGTCTCTGCATCAAACTTGCTGAAAGTATCACTCATTCATTTCTTCTTGAAACCTTTAATTCATCATAGGAAAGAAAAACAGGAGTCCTAAACAAAAGAACTTTAATCAAATGACTGATTATAAGAGGAAGATGCTGGATTAAAAGCATTAAGCACAGAAGTAAATATTACAAAGGGACCAAAGCCAAAACAAGACAGAAAACACAGGAAAATAAAAGAGACACATGGGGTAAAGCAGTAGAGACTGGAAGAGAACATGAAGAAACAAAACTTCAAGAAAAACCAAAATATGAAAGCTGCCATCGTGCTCAGTACAAACAGCCTTCAACTTTAAAATATTCATCCAATCATCTGAATCTATTTATTGAACTCCTCTAAGCCAGGAGTGGAAAATGCAGACAAAGCAGACAGCCTGACCTAGAAATGCTTGGTCAAGGCAGCCAGATCAAAGAACAACAATCTAATAGTTGTCATAATACAGGTGTGTTCCAGGTGCTAGGAAGGCAACAGGGCACCACCTCCTAGAAGGAAGGGAGGAGAGAGGAAGCCAGGAAAGACTTAACAAGTCAGATTCTGGACTGGGTTTGCCTTTTCTCTTCCCTGGCTTGATCGGGATGGGTTTCTCTGGGTAAAAAGAGAAGGCAGGAGAAGAAGTCACTGCAGGCGAAGGCACAAGATATGCAGAAGTGCAGAGGCTCTAGGATCTGTGAGGAGCATGGAGAACTGCAGCTCCTGAACTGCGAAGAGGAGAGAAGGTACAAGAAGAGGAGGAAGACAAAGATCGTGAGGGACCCTAAACGCAAGGCTAGAAGGCTGGACTTCAACTTCCAGATTTCAAACAGTGGATGACAAAGTCCTAGAAGTGCTGACAGGTGTTCCACAAACTGACACTGCCTTCTACTAATAAACTAGCAGGCAATCAAGCAAGCTTACTCTTTTACTTTCTTCTTTTTGAAACAATACAAATTGATAGGCTCTATCTGAATATCAAACGAGAGGCACAGTTTAGAAGAAAATGACTGTAACAAGACTCAAGCCCCTCAGCTGATGAACCACGGAGTTCCCACGATGGTGATAATTTCAGTTTAACACTGTTTTTATTCTTAGCCATATTCTGTTGAAGACACATCAGTCTGGGACCCCTGGTTAAAATCAGAAAGTATAAAAAGCATGGATTTTGAAGAATACATAAATGAGTAGGAAAAAAAAATTTAGATACATTCTTCTAAATTATCTTTACCACATCCTTCATACACACATTTACTTATGAAAAAGTATTCCACAACAAGTTCAAGATTTCACTAGAAGTTCAAAAATCAATGATCAAAAAGTAGCAACAATTATGTCAAGTTCACTTTTACATTTATTAGTAATTCACACCTATAATTTGCTATGTGGAAAAAGGCAACTGAAATGGCCTGATTTCTCTGACCATGTTTAAGAATGAGCATGAAAAATGTTAAACAACCAATTTGGTATTTTTAAGTAGAAAATAAAAGAATTCCTATCAAAGGAATGTTTTGACGCCATAGAATGTGAATAAACTTGTATTTGGCTTAAAATAGATTTGGAATAAAAACTCAACATGTCATTTTAAATTTGTTCACAAATCATATTCTTTTTCTAAAACAATTAGTGGAAATTTTAAAAGGTAATAGGAAAATTACTAAAATTTAAAAAAATAAAATAAAATAAAAAAAGAAAAAAAAAATTACTGAAAGGATTTCAGGAGAGTGAATACTACAGTTAGATGTGAATTTCTGAAAATCACTGTTAGTTAAGAACAGAGCAGTGGGAGGGAAAAGCAGTGCAAATGTCCCCAGGCAGGGATGCGAAGGGCCTGACAGCGGCAGGGGTGGAAGAGAACCACCAAGGTGTGATGGTCTGCCGCTAACATAAATCTGCTTCAAAGCAGCCTCCTTTTTTCAATTTCTATCCTTTCTTTGCTTCTGAACTCCAAAATCCATGATACTCCCCCAAATAGTTTCTAGGAAAGTAGTCTTAAGCATCAGTGCATACAGCAGGACTGAACAGGAAGTGATCTTTCCAGGCTGCTAACAGGTGAGATCTACCCAGGTTTTCTGTTTGTGTGCATCTTATCTCTTTACTAGATTTAAGCGTTGCCTGAGAACATCATCTATATAAACCACTGCACCAAAAACCACACCTGACACATAGTTTGTAGCCAATAGATCCAGAGTGAATGAATGACACCGAATGAGGAGATGAACACAGGCATGGACCTCAAAGGTGAGATACAGGCCCACCGCTCTACCTCCCTCTAAACTTCCTACTTTCCATAACCTACCACACGGAGCTTTTTTAAAGCTTACTTTCAAGTGGTACCAACACTTAGTGTTTGCAGGAAAGAAGAGATTACTTCTAATTTGAATAATAAGAAAAGTGTCATGGAAGTGAACTTAAAAGAATTTATAGAGAAGAAAAGGCATGTTCCAGGATGAAAAACAAATATCGTAAAAAAAGGAGCTAAGAGGAAATGTTATGAACATGTTATTGGCTGAAATGTGGGAATACATGAAGAGAAACAGTGGGAGAAGAGGCTGGAAAAATAGTTACAGGTGAAGATCCTATATAATACAAAGCTAAGCCAACTGCCTGAGGTTTATTCTCTAGGGAATAAAATCCTTTTAAAATCCCTTTAAACAGAGCCACTTTAGGAGTGTACTTTAAAAGAACTATCTGGCAGCAATATATAGGAGGGGCAGAAGATGGAGTGCATATACATTTTCTGAGTAAATCCCTGAATTATCTTCCTTTCATAATTTAAGACTGTAATACTTTAGTATCTCCTCCAGCAGCCTATCAAAATTTCAATTTATTTAAAACACAAATTAAATACTATACTAATTCTAAAACCATTTACTTAAAATTGCCTATAAACTTTCAACCAAAGAAAAAAAAATTTAGGACCTTGAAACACCATGAAATGGTTTTTGGCATTTCTAAGAGAAATCTGGAAATAGCTTCAAACTTGGAAAGCCATTTGTAAGCTGGGCTCCAATCAGAAGCTGCATCTGGGATATATTTTTCTCCAAGGTCATTCCAAACTTGGTCAGGCCAGGAGAGGCTCCAACTGGCTCAGGAGATGGTAAACAATGTGGCCAACTGACATAGCAAGACAGAATTTTAAAGGCTTCAGCTTCACAAATCATCAGCTCTCATGACCCCTGGTGGACATTAAGAAAATTAACAGCTTTTAGATTTTATTAATAAGAGTCACAACACTGAAAATACATGACTCTTAAACAAACAGAGTGTCCAAAAACTGATGCTTTTGAACTGTGGTGCTAGAGAAGACTCTGGAGAGTCCCTTGGACAGCAATATCAATCCTAACAGAAGTCAACCCTGAATATTCATTGGAAGGACTGATGCTGAAGCTCCAATACTTTGGCCACTTGATGCAAAGAGCTGACTCACTGGAAAAGACCCTGATCCTGGGAAAGACTGAAGGCAGGAGGAGAAGGAGGAGACAGAGGATGAGATGGTTGGATGGCATCATCAATTCAATGGACAAGAGTTTGAGCAAACTCCAGTACATAGTGAAGGACAGGGAGGCCTGGTATGCTGCAGTCCATGGGGTTGCAAAGAGTTACCTGGCTGAGCAACTGAACAATAAACAAACAAACACATGGCTTTGATAACACATGGTAATGCTATCCATTCAAACGGTTAGAGAGAAAACAGATGCTTTGAGTCTCACCTGCAAGGGTTTTTAGGTAGTCTAGTGTTGGAAGAATAGGAGGTGACCTCCTCTGGAGAAAAAAGATGACCATCACGGTGAGGGAGAAATTTGTAATCCAAGCACCAGGAATACTACTCGTTAACGAATGTGCTCGAGCCCAGCATCGGACACTGAATGCTAAGGCTCTAACCCGCGAGTCCAGGGCACCATACATGTAAAGCAGTTCAGAACTTTTCAAGGCAATCCTTCGAAAGAAAAAAATAACAGAAATTTTCAACCCCCCAAATTATGATCCCAGAGTAGAACAAAACACAAACCTGGGCACATATCTAACTATCTTGCTCTATCTAAACATATTCAGAACAATAAGAGCAGATCATCAAATGCATTATGTATCTGCAATATAACATTTAATATGAATGGTAACCTTTCATTACCACTAAAACATTCTTCTAAATGCTGACAACCACAATGCAGTTATCAAACTTAAAAATTTTAAATCAAAGTTCCTAAACATGATGTAATAAGTGAAATAATACCTAAATGCTCTTCATTAACTATCAATAAACACACAGGCAGGTCTGTAAGTAAGAGACTTCATACTTTAGTTGCACATGGAGATTAACTAGTCCTTTTCTGTTCTGAGTCATCATTAATTCCTGTGTTTATTTGTTGTACCCATAGCTTTTCTAGTGTTTCAGGGGGCACTGAGGATACATGCAGAGGAGACAGAGAGAATGAACAAAGTCAGAAGCAGAATCTATCTGGGCTATAGGCATTCCGATCCAATGGTTCTGCAGAGTAATTAAAACTGTGCTGCATGGTATTTCTGATCTTCCTATCAGATGAAGCTGGAAGGGAAATGAAGTCATTTGTAGGACTTGCACTCGCCACAGGAAGAAAAATATGACAAAGATTTCCTGATAACTGAATTTTGAAAACAATTTGATCTTGATATGGATTGATTATAGGTGACCTACCCTTATACTTTACCATCCAAATCAGGACACTTCAGAATGGGAAAAGGAGATTATCTAGTCCTTCCACAGACAAGGGAAATATTATACTTATTTTATCAAGAAAATATGTCTTTTAAAATTCAGCCAAAATTACTTAAGTGTACTATTTATAAAATCCACAACTCAGGAAGATTAAATATGTATTAAGAAATCAGTCTTTAGAGCCTATTTTCTAAGTCTTCTATTCATATGTTATAATGCAAAGAGTTATAAGAAATATTTTAAAATTAAGTTCCTAATGATCAAGACATGTCTTATAATTTCTCAAAGACCCAAGAGAGGGCACATGTTATTTCACAGTATCAACTCCAAACTGCCTACTAAGTACCATCATGGGTGGCACTTCCTGAGTTTAAGGAAAGGAGAGGAAATGGAAAATTAGAAATTCATGATGATTAACTGTTTTAGCTATGTAAATGAAGTTAAATTAAGCTGAAAAATAAGTAGCTTTAAAAAAAACACACAGTACAAGGTACCTGATATTAAAAAAAAAATGCAAGTATAAAGAAATATGCAAGTATAAAAAGTCTGATGCATATTAAATAAATTTTTAAAAACTATGGCAACAAGACAATGAAAACAACACTATTACAAAGATAAAAGTCATTTTATTTGACTTACATGCTGTAAAGAAAATATAGTAATGATAGAAAGTATAGTATGTGTTTTTATTTATTTTTACTCCATGAGCCACTTGAGAGAAATTCAGAAGTACTTAGCACTGACTTGTTAGTGAACACTTGAGTTTATTCAAAACTGCTCTAGACTGGATTTTCTGAATCTATTTTTAGTTATGACTATTTAACTAACAGATAGTACAGGGAGACGAATGCATGCAATGAGCATACTAGAGTGTAAAGAAACAAACGTCTCAACTGAGAAGTTTTCTCTACTGAGAACCAAAGAAAAGTTATCAGAGCATAAAAGAACTTGTCACTCTCATTACCCCCCCTTTTTTAAGCAAACAGGTTGATAATAAAATGAAAACATGCTGAAGAAAACTATGCAGTCTTATTAGGCTGCTCAGCCCACCATCTGTTTGACACAAAGTTGACTATATCTGGAGGCATTTCCGAGGACAAACTCAAGATGCCACTTGACTTTCTAAGTAAACTAGAAGGCTAGATATTCAGGAACTTTTGAGTTGTTATCAGGCTACATAAATAGGAACAATGAAACACGGTTCTCAGAAGATGTTTGTTAGGTATGTTAACATTTTAGCACAGTATCTTAACATTTTATTAAGAACACTAAAAAAAAAACTCCCAATAGATATATATAGTATAAGAGAAAGTACTTCCTACTTTTCAAGTTTTCACCTTTAAAAAAAATTACTAGTAAAGCATATCCAAGAGTCAAAAATCACTGTTTCTGCGCAAGAAAAACTATGCTAATACCTTGTAACATTCATTTAAGATAGTAAGTAAGAGACCATACCTGTTGTTAGTAGTCAAATCACACTGAAATCCAGAGGCCTGGTGTGAGAACCTGACAAGGGGACAGCGGGCATTCAGTATTTTCTGTACTCCCACGCAGCCTGGGCCAAACTGGTCTAGGCACTCTCCTATCACAGACAGGATCTTCTGAGTTGCAACTCTTTCCGAAGGAACGTTTTTCACTTGAAATTCCATCAGAAAATTTCCTGAGGTCTGAATAATAAAAACATTAGCAAATAGGAGCTTTTTTATAAAAAGGAACTTCTGAAACTTTTCTAAAAGGATGCTCTAAGTCATTTCTGGTCAAAACACACACACACACAAAACAAAAAATTAATAACCATACAGACACAAAAAATTCTCCATGCAATCACAGCCAAAAGCAGACCAAAAATCCTCAATTGTCAAAATGAAAAGACAATCAACAGACTAGGAGAAAATATTTGCAAATAGTTCGACTGGACAAGGGCCAATACATACAAATGGCTCATACAACTCAATGACAAAAACAGAAACAAACAAACAAAAAAAGACCCAATCAAAAAGTGCGTATAAGACATTTCTCCAAAGAAGACACACAGATGGCCGACAGGCATATGAAAAGATGCTCAACATCACTAATTACTAGAGAAATGTAAATCACAGCTAAAATTAGGTGGGAGGGAGGTCCAAGAGGGAGGGGACATATGTATATCTATGGCTGATTCATGTTGATGTATGGCAGAAACTAATATTGTAAAGCAATTATCCTTCAATTAAAAATTAAAAAACAACTAAATATCACCTCACACCAGTCAGAACAACCATCATTAAAAAGTCTACAAATAATAAATGCTGGAGAGGGTGAATAGAAAAGGGAACCCTCCTACACTCTTCATGGAAATGCAAATTGGTGAAGCCACTATGGAAGACACTATAGAGGTTCTTTTAAAAAACAAAAATAGAGCTACCATATGATCAAAACTCCATCTCTTGAGCATTTATCTGGAGAAAAATCTGAAAAGATACATGCACCCCAATGCTCATGGCAGCACTATTTACAGCAGACGAGACATAGCAGCAACCTAAATGTCCACTAACAGATGAATGGATAAAGATGATGTGATATACAGTCACACACACACACACTGGAATAGTACTCAGCCACAAAAAAGAATGAAATAATGCTATTTACACAACATAAATGGACCAAAGATTACCAGGAAGTCAGAAGGAGAACAACAAATATATGACACCACTTATATGTGGAATTTAAAATGATACAAATAAACTTATTTATAAAACAGAAACAGACTCACAGACATAGAAAACAAACTTATGGTACCAAAGGGCATGGGGGTAGGGAAGGGATAAATTAGGAGTTTAGAATTAGCACATACACACTGCTATATATAAAATGAACAACAAGGTCCTACTGTATAGCATGGATAACTATATTAACTATCCTGTGATAAGCATAATGGAAAAGAACATGCAAAAGAACAGACACAATATATGTATAATTGAATCACTTTGCTGTGTACCAGAAATGAACACGACACTGTAAATCAACTTACACTTCAATAAAAACATTAAAAAAAAATCTTCAGTTGTCTTTTGATTCTCTAGAGTATAAAATACTACCTTGAAAGATCATTGGCTTTTTAGAATTGACTTAGGTAACACTACATGTAGAACCACAGACTCTGTGAACATATACATGCCCTTCCCAAGTCAGCCTTTCCACTTTCATAAGATCTGCAAACCCACAGTAGTTATAACAGGAAGTACATGCAAGAGAACAGCAGATCAACAGAAGGAAACAGACAATATAACTAGATGCAACTATAGGCATTTAACAGTTAATAAAATGAACTCTGCAAATTACTGCAGAAATGCTATTGAAAGAATGAGTCAAGTGGCCATCAAAAAAAAGAAACTAGTCCAAAACCAAAGTAAATTCAACATGGAGCATAAACTTCAATAAAAAAGGTTTTAATCAATAAAATACCAGAATACAACGGGAGAATGTTTATACAATCATAGAGTAAAGGATTCTCTAAGCATGACACAAAATTCCAGAACACACAAAAGAATATGAATGAATAAAAATGAAAACCATCTTAAGGTCAAGCATATTTATTACTAGAAAGAAGACAAATGAAGACAATAATACATGTCATATAAAGGGATAATGTCCCTAATTTATGAAGGGTTTACACAGAGCCCAATTCTACAAATGGGCCAAAAACATTTGAATAAGAAATTAACAGAAGAAATAAAACTGAGCAAGAAACATCATAAAAGATGCTCTTGTTGTCCAGAAACTAAGAGGAAATTAAAATAGCAATGAGGTTTTTTTGATTATCAGTCTGGCAAAAACAAAAAGGCTGACAGGACCAGCTTTGGTGGGTGAGGAGAAACACATCCATCCTGACAAGAGGAGTGTAAACTGATACTTTTGGGACAACTTTAATACTGAAATAGCAAAACTTTGAATATGTAAGATTTTGATTAGTTACTAAAATCCTAGGAAATCACCCCAAAGGAATGCTAATACAAATGAGCAGATTTACCAAGCTGTTCACTCACTGCAGCACTATTTGTGTGGTAGATACCTTCTAAAAACTCTATCTAGCTTAAAGCACTCTACCTTCAACCCACCCCTCTTCAAGAACTCATTCCTCCTGAAAGGATCAAGGCCCTGACAACGCATGCAGACCAGACAGGGTTGCTGACATAAGCACCACGGAGGCTCCCCATCACCACCCAGTGTTTCCACCAGGAACTGCAACTGAGGGTCAGAGGCTCCCACGTGGCTGAAATAGAACTCAGAAACTTCCGGGCAGGCACATGCTATATCATCAGGATGAAAATGTAAAGAAAATCAAAGTGGGGTGGGGAAAGGAGAGTGGGGAAAGGGGTGGAAGATATTAAACAAAGCAAAACATGGAGAGAAACAGACCCTTCGTGGATTGTTGGTCATTTATACCTTAGTTCTAGTCTTTTCCCAGGATTCACCCACACTCCTGATTCCTGACTCCTGAGTTCTAGGATGCTTCCTCTACTTCTTCTGTTTGTTTAAGCTGCTCTGGATTGGTTTCTGTTATGCACAACCAAAGAATATTACCTACTATAGTTGGCAATAAAGCAGGAAAAAAGATACTGCTCCCTAACTAAAAAAAAGGACTGGTTATGAAATAAATTATGGTACATTCATTCAATAATTATTCTGCAGCCATTTTTAAAAGGATACAGTAGACTGAAGCTAAGACATATATATAGATTTAGTTATAATCTCTTCCTAACTGTCCTCAATTCAGGCTGAAGAATAAAACAAGTCCCGAGAATTACAAACCAAGATGGGGTACCAAGACACACACAACACCAAGAGGAAGGAGAGCTCCATGACGGCGTACAGCAGTCAAAGAAGCTGCTTGTATGGAAGACAGACTTAAAAGCAGTCCTGCTTTTTGTGTTGTTGTTGTTAATTTATTTTTGTTTAAAAATTAAAATTTAAAAAATGCTCCTGTTTTTCATTATATTTCTAAAATGTTTCTATTAGCAAAGCTATTATAATCATATATAAGCACATATTTCAGAATATAAGTATATAACAACACTGCTTAAGTTAAACCTACATACAAAATTATGTCAAATTGTTTAGTGAGACTGGACCACTGTCTTTTAAAATACTTTTTTTCTAAATAGCTCTCTAGTCCAGAAATCTAACATCCAATTAAGTTTCCAACTCCTTCCTTTCCTTCCAACAGAAAAAAACTGTTTCTTACTGTCTACCAATCCTCTCATTCTATGAGTTGGTTCTATAGCACCAATCCAGTTTTACAGCTAGGAAAATCAAGGCACAGAGAAGGTAAATAACTTACCCATTGTCACACAGCTGTAAGTAGAAGAATTATTAATCTGCAGTGTGGCTCCTGAGCCCAAGCTTTCACCATCACAACATATTGTTAGCCATGTTAATTATTTAATATAAAAATAACCTAATATAACTTGAGTGTCCCTGCCAGGAATTTAATACAACTTCAAGTATTAAAAGCATGTTAGCCTTAGTAAGACTGATGCGTTTCACTCTGATATGTTTTATATTCCTTGGCCAGTTTTGACTCTGTAATTATACACTGAGCATATAGGCACTGTATGGGATGAGAAAATGAACAAACATGGTCCCTGTTCTGCCCACGTTTATGATACAGTGAGAGACACAGATCAACCACTAACTAAATGTAACCCAGGAGGAATCTGGAGACAGAAAGATGAGCAAGACACTGCGAAAAAGGAGTGATTAATTTTGACTGGAGCAGAGAAAAAAAAATCAAGTATGGTTTTAAGAAGGTGGAATCAGAACTAGGCCTTGCAAGATGCTTAGGAATGGCAGTCAGGAATGGAAGGAAACAGCACTCCTCACTGAAGAGAGATAACAATTGTTTAGTTGTTATCCACATCATAAAAGTCCCTTACAATTAGGTAATTAAATGATGTGACTGAAAAACTGGGTGTGTGAAGATACAGAATGAGAAATCATCACTAAAATGAATTATGAAACAGAGCATTTCAATTCTATGTTAAAAAGAACAGTTCTAAGTTTGTGGATGATCCAATCTGTGTTTTAAGGTAACTTCAGCAGAACCTGAGGGCTAGAAAACCAAAGCATGAGGCGAGGAATACGTGGAAAGCAAGATGTTGTTATAATCATTTAACTGAGAATTTATAAAGGACCCTGTGACTGCAGCTTTGAGGACGTAAATGAAGAGGCAGGCCTAAAAGATTAGCTTAGATTTCTTTGCTTAGGTGACAGCAAATATCAGGAAAGCTAAAGTGCCACTAATAAACATGTGACACATAAATAAGAACTTTCATAAGAAAGTTAAGAATATTAACAAGGAAATGAAGATAAACTTTTGTTTTCAAAATGTTAAGTTTGAAGATTCAACTGGATAGTCACACAGAGAAGATTATTAGTTTGAAATACATAGGAAAGAACCGTCATAGAAACCTAAGATTGTACAAAAACACAGAAGTTTTTCCAAATCAAAGTTGTAATTAAAGTCCCTCTTATATTGTTTGGGATGATACCAGACACACTGATTAACTTCACTCTGTCAGACATGCATGTTAATAAACCATAAATGGGATATAAAATCTCTAAACTGTAAGTGGAAAGAAAGTAAGAGATGAAAGGACAGAATAAAGAAAGAATTCAACAGGAGGAGGAAAGGAAGAAAAAGCAAAGGAAAAGCATAGAAAATCGGAAATAAAAAATTAAACAGTAGAAATAAAATCAAATTGTAGCAGTAATAATAAATAAAAATACTCAAAAGATTGGAGTAAAAGCATAAAATTCAGTGATTTGCTATTTATACCCAAAATATAACAACATATGTTATGTTGCTGAGAGAAATATCAACAATCTCAGAAAGAGCCTCTTGATGAGGATGAAAGACTGAAAAAGCCGACTTAAAACTCAACATTCAAAAAACTAAGATCATGGCATCCTGCCCCATCACTTGATGGCAAATAGATGGGTAAAAAGTGGAAACAGTGACAGATTTTCTTTCCTTGGGCTCCAAAATCACTGCAGACTATGACTGCAGCCATGAAATTAAAACATGCTTGCTCCTTGGAAGAAAAGCTATGACAAACCTAGACAGCATATTAAAAGCAGAGACACCACTTTGCTGACAAAGGTCCATCTAGTCAAAGCTATGGTTTTTCCAGTAGTCGTGTATGGATGTGAGAGTTGGACCATAAAGAAGACAGCACCAAAGAACTGATGCTTCTGAACTGTGGTGTTGGAGAAGACTCTTGAGAGTCTTGGAGAGTCCCTTGGACACCAAGATCATCAAATCAGTCAATCCTAAAGGAAATCAACTCTGAGAATTCATTAGAAGGACTGACGCTGAAGCTCCAATACTTTGGCCACCTGATGTGAAGAGCTTCAGTTCAGTTCAGCTCAGTCACTCAGTTGGGTCTGACTCTTTGTGACCCCATGGACTGCAGCACACCAGGCCTCCCTGTCCATCACCAATTCCCGGCGCTTACTCAAACTCATGTCCATTGAGTCAGTGATGCCATCCAACCATCTCATCCTCTGTCATCCCCTTCTCCTCCTGCCTTCAATCTTTCTCAGCATCAGGGCCTTTTCCAATGAGTCAGTTCTTCGCATCAGGTGGCCGAAGTATTGGAGTTTCAGCTTCAGCATCGGTCCTTCCAATGAATATTTAGGACTGATTTCCTTTAGATGGACTGGTTGGATCTCCTTGTAGTCCAAGGGACTCTCAAGAGTCTTCTCCACACCACAGTTCAAAAGCATCAATTCTTTGGCACTCAGTTTTCTTTACAGTCCAACTCTCACATCCATACATGACTACTGGAAAAACCATACTTCTCATTGGAAAAGACCCTGATGCTGGGAAAGATTGAGGGCAGGAGGAGAAGGGGCAACAGACGATGAGATGGTTGGATGGATCACTGACTCCATGGACATGGGTGTGAGCAAGCTCCAGGAGAGAGGGAAGGACAGGGAAGCCTGGCATATGAGTCCATAGGGTCTTAAAGAGTCAGACATGACTTAGGAACTGAACAAAAATGTGAAAACTGAAAACAGTGATGCAGAAGAAAGTTTCTGAAACAGATAACAAACGGCCATCTTAATAAAAAAAAAGAATTCAAAGAAAAGGCATTTACAGAGATGATGGACATAACAATGATACATGAACAACCCGATAAAAAGGCATAATAATCATACACTGAAATGTAGCTAACATAGTCTTTGAGTACTGTAAAATTCAGAAGAATTCTGAGAAATGAATGGAAGCAAATAACATGAGATGTAAAAAGTATTTTAGTAACTAGGTTATAGACAAAATGATTAGTTAATATACACATAATCTGAAAAACACAGTAAGTAACCTTGGTCTACCCCAAAAATTTCTCAACCCCCAAGAGGAACAATCATTTTATTACATGTTTAAGATATTCACAAAAAAATGCTCACATATTAGACCAATGCAAAGAAGATTTTACAATTCCAAAGAAGCAGTATCAAGTAGACTTTATTCTGTTACCACACTGCCTCTTAAGCTTAGAAATCAAGTTAAAATTTTATTAAGTCCAAAGATTTCCTTTATTTCTTCTAATAATTTTAGCTTTGTGATTTAAAGAAATGCAGTTACCTTTTGAGCAGTAAATTTTCCAATTTCATCTAGATCCAAAAACATGTCCAAATCACATCCTAGTTTCCCGAAACTGTTCACTGAGGAGCCAAAGGGTCTGACTGCACAGTCCGGAAAGTACGCAGCTGCCACATCTTCAATGAGAGAGCAGGTGAGATACCGGAGCCTGGTGTTCTCCTCGGTGAGCTGGAATTCCCTCAACAGAGTGTTTAGCTGATCATCTACCTAGCTGGCCAAAACAAAACAACAAAATACAGAAAATGTTCAGGTCATGTTGCATAATGGTCATTTTATTTCAGATATTTGATGGCTTAGGAGACCGACTTTAAAAATACACAATCTTTTTACATTGAGCCTTATTGAAAATGCCCTTTGTACTGAGGAATGAGGAAGGATACCAGCAAAATAAAAGTTGGCTAGAATTAAAACTACTACTTTTCTTAGGCACTGAGTATAAAGTATTGTTTCAGGAAAATGTAAAGGGCTCTAGTAGAGGAGGTAGAAACCACCCCAAAGCTGGACATTTAAAGGACGTTGCAGGGGAGAGGAGAGCCAGTGTTAAAGGCAAGGAACACTAGAAAGCAGCAAAGTTTCAGGAATGAAGGCCCATGATCCCCCAGTTCCTTAGAACAACAATCCTGTATGTTCCCTAGGAGACTGGTGTTAAAATGATCATACCATGAAGGTGCCTGCTGGAGCTTAAATATTCATATTTAAAATAAAAACCACAGCCTTAAAGGCCCACAAAGTAGAGGAAATAGAAAAGCTTAGAAGTTTTTAAAATTAGAAAAATCAATAGCCCCCAAATAGTATACTTTGATAAATAAAACCATAAAGAGATTCTTGAAAAGAACTAGCTAAACCTCTGACAAGCCTGTAAGAAAAATCAAAACTAACATAAACATCATGGCATCTGGTCCCATAGCTTCATGGAAAATAAAAGGGGAAACAATGGAAACAGTGACAGACTTTATTTTCTTGGGCTCCAAAATCACTGCAGATGGTGCCCACAGCCATGAAATTAAAAGACACTTTCTTCTTGGAAAAAAGGCTATGACCAACCTAGACAGCATATTAAAAAGCAGAGACATTATTTGGGCAACAAAGGTCCATATAGTTACAGCTACGGTTTTTCCAGTAGTCATGTACAGATGTGAGAGTTGGACCATAAAGAAGGCTGAGCGCCGAAGAATTGATGCTTTCGAACTGTGGTGTTAGAGAAGACTCTGGAGAGTCCCTTGGACAGTAAGGAGATCAAACCTAAAGGAAATCAGTCCTGAATATTCACTGGAAGGACTGAGGCTGAAGCTGAAGCACCAGTACTTTAGTCACCTGATGCAAACAGCCAACTCATTTGAAAAGACCCTGATGCTGGGAAAGACTGAAGCCATAGGAGAACGGGGTGACAGAGGATGAGATGGTGGTATCACCAACTCGATGGACATGAGTTTGAGCAAACTCTGGGAGATGGTATAGGACAGGGAAACCTGGCGTGCTGCAGTCCATGGGGTCGCAAACAGTCAGATACAACTAAGAGACTGACCAACAACTACAAACATTATTAGAGCAGAAAAAAAGAGAAAAAACCAGAAATAAGATCTTTTAGTTTACAAAAAGAATGTCATATACAATTATATGTCATGTTGACAAGAGAAAGAAAACTAGAATAATCCAAAGGTCCAAAACTTTGGAAGAATGTGATTACTTCTCATGATTACAAATAGTTCATCAGGTAAGGAGTGGGGAAGGATTGGTTTTACTTTTCACTCGGTCAGTATGCTCTGTAATTTGAATATTTAATAATAAAAACTTAAAATGTGCAAAACAAGTCAAACACACATATATCAAGTTGGGGAAGTATACCTAAAAACTTACACTTTCTGCACAACAAAGTAACTGATAAAGCTTCTTGCTTGAAGGAGAAGACTGGTTACTACATTGAATACTTGACAGTTCAGAAGTCTGGTTTGATGAATTTCTCAATTTTAAATTGAAGTAACGTGACTTGAATGGAATTGCAGCCTCTGGGCCCAGGCTTGGAGTCCGAGTTATATTCTGCAATGAAGTTACACTTTCCTTCTGACAAAATTCTACAACAGCGTAAAGACCCTAGATCAAAAACATAAGAATAGAACACATTCCTAAATACTATTAATATTTTTAAACTAATAGTGTTTTAGTTCATATTTCAAAGCAACTATGACAACATGAAAAATGTTCATTATTAAAATCTACAATGGTATGCACACAAGCAATGGTTTTAAACCATTATAAGCAGAATAATAAAAGGAACACTATAAAATGGTATGTGAAGCTGAAAATAATGCTGACACAGAAAATCAAAAGGTAAAAAAAGACCTCCCACTGGCTCCAGTGCCTAAGATAATGGAATGATTTAAAGTAGTCAAATTATGATTTAGTTATAATTCTGCTTATAATTCTGTAATACCCCATAAGGACTTCTCATATTAAAAAAAACCTCATTAAAGAAATTTAGATAAAGAAAGCTATAGGATATCAACAGAAACTTTATAACTTTACCATACTGCAGAGGCAAGAGAGCAAAAAATAACTTAAAAAAATATATATGACGGTTAAGTCAGACTGTTTCTCAAATACTTACAAAACTTTCATAGAAGAAGTGGCTGTTAATAGGTCCATGCTGGGATAAGAACTTGAGAAACTTTTTCTCATCAATTTTGTTTGGGCAGTGGATCAACACAGTCCGCTGGGCCTGCTCTCGTCTCTCGTTTTGCACCTCGGAGAATCTCTTTTTTGGAGTCCTGTCTTCAGAGCCTATGAATGAGACAAAGACATTACCAACACACACGTAAAATTTAAAGCGTCTCTTGATAAGGTATATAAAGACTGTACACTTGACTACAGTCAACTTTATCCTAACCTCATCTTATTTCTTCTCCTCCTTTATCAAAGTGAAGTTGTGCTCCTCTCAATCTTTCTATTACCATTCCCTTGTGATTACCATTAAACTGTCCACTGTTTTGATTGACTATATTCAATAAATAGTGCTAAAAAGGGAGTGTTCCACAAAAATTTCAAAGCAAAACCAGAAAAGTAAAACCACTTTTATAAATACACACATAATAAGTCTATATAAGCTGTAACATTTCAAAGTCTAAATGAAATTCTTACAAGCCTGAGTGCAATGAAACAAAGGTGCCAAAGTCCTCTTTATAAAATAATCTTTTTAAGAAAGCCTTATTCTTTGACTTCTTGCTGTGTTCCCAGTCCGGTCTAAGCCCCATGGCCTGAGCATGAAGCTCCCAGCACCTTGGCCCCTTCTCATCCACCTCAACTTCCGCCACCTCCTCCTTCTCCACAGTGCTTACCTACAGTGCTCTTCACACAACATCATCACACACACTATGAACTTTTCACAGACTCTTCTCTCTGGCTGCAATGCCCACCTTCTCATTTTCTGTCTCACAAACTCCCATTCATCCTGCAAACTGTGCTCAGGTCTGTGGAGACTTCTGACTCCTCTTGGCAGAATCGCCTCCACTCTGTAATACCTCACTTCAACATCTCTGGAAGAATGTCAGTCACAGTGCTGTATTTACTTAAACAACACAGAAAAGAACCTGTCTTCCATCCAGAGGACAGGGATGACCTCAGTCTACTGACAGCCTTTCCACCTGGTCCCTATTTCCTTCTTTTTTTAATGGTCCAAGTTTTTCTCATCCACTCTTCCAGTTGTAATTACCACCTCCATCGTCTTGTTGCTGCTATTTACTGAGTCTACACTGATGTTCAACTGCTAATTGTAAAAGCAAAATCAAACTGCAAAATTTCATAGAGTAAATGTATAAATCCTCCTCCAGTTCTAATACCCAAGTATTAAGTGTGATACTTTTCCAGACATTTTCAAGGTACATATAAACATATACATCCATACCTCTCCAGAGATAAACATTTTTCACACAACTGAAATTACTGAAAATGTACTGTACATTCTGTTCTGTAATACGCTTTTAAATATTTAATACACTGTCATATCTTTTCACATCAGTAGATATATACTTATCTCATTTTAAAAATAATTACGAAAAAAATAATTGCATAAGTATGCTTGGATATCTATGGTAATTTAATTAATCCTCTATGATAAATATTTAGATGGTTTACCTTTTTCACTATCACAAGCAACACTGCAATGTCATCAGTATACAATGTCTTTGTACTTTTAAGTATTTCCCTGCAGGTGGACTACTGAGGAGAAACAGAAACTGAATTTGAGAAGGAGGTCGAGAAGTTTGATGAATGATGCAGAAACATGCTCGAGAAGACAGGAGGTGAGGGGGGAAAGCAGAGTCTATAGGACTAACAGTTCTGGCCTTGAACAACAGAAAGTACGAATGATGTAGACAGAACAAAGTCATGAAAGAGGGGTCAGAAAGTTCAGGTAATATAAGTTCATTACCTTGTAAAAAGGCTGTCAAATGTACAAAGAACACAAAGTTGGAAGGAAAAAGTAGTAAGTGCTAATATTTTAAGACATTCAAATTTGCCGTGGTCGGGATAACAATCTGATAAGCAAAAACACAGAGAATATTGCCCTTCATTTAGAATAAAAAACAACATAAACATACAAGCACACAACGGGGGTGTGGCGGGGTGGGAGGAGGGGAGGGATCAGCTAGCAGTAGATGTATAAAAGAAGAACAAAAGTGTGATTTGATGAAAGTTCAATATAAGCCAAGGGAATGTATTAGCTTCTGGGGTGAGAATGGGGAGAAGATAGATACAGATACAAAATCCAAGTTCAAGGGGTACTGGCACTTTCTCACTATTCACTGGTCAGGCCACACGTAGAGTACATGCTCTGCTCCAGACATGAGGGATCTGAAGGATGCTGATTAACCAGAGAGCATCTGGAAAGAAGTAATAAAAGGTCTAAAACTCTGGTAGAGAAGCACTGCAAAGAAAGTGGAGATTTACAACCTGGAAACAAACCAATGTGAACATGACAGCTATCCTTCCACTGGTGCAGCACTTTCCAGTTTTCACAAAAACATTCTCTTCTGAATCTCATAATAACCTTTTCAGATAGACAGGGTAAGTATCATTAATGATGAAAAAACAAATCAAACATCTAACAAGCTGGGTAGCCTCCTGCAGAGTTTAGCTGCTCCTTGGTTGCCTGACACATGTCCCCTGTCCTGGTAACACACAACCTTGTCTGTGAAGTTGTAGGGGGCGGCTGTCAACAGCTATCTTCCCATACATGTGCCCATGTCCCACTAGGCGGGCTAGGACTCTCAAATGATTTGAAACAGCTCCTCTTGGTCCAGTAGGCGAGGGTGGTGGAGTGGGGTTCGGGTGATGATCAAAAACTCTTTCTGAGGATCTTTCAAATTCAGGCAAAAGATTATTCTCCCACTGGACAAAGTTGCAAGCTACTAGTGGCCACTCCTCACCACCTACCATGAACAACTCCTATAGAAGAAGAACCTGGGATAAGGAGGCCGCCAAACAACAGGGGCGGAAACAACTCACTCTCATCACACCCATCCAGGTGACCTTAGAGCAGTCATGTCTCCTTCTGGAGTTTGGTTCCATGGTTGGTGTATCCTCCCTTTAATTTGAGTTAGTTGCTGTCATCTGCACCCAGAGTCCTGAACAATACAAATTCTTGTTCTTAAATCAGGGTTCTTTCCATGTCTCACATGAAAGCTATGTCAAAACCAAGACCAACAGGGAAATGGGAAATTAGTAGCTTTAGCTCATTATAAATATTTTCCAGCCATCCAAGCCTCATCAAAAGTGAACTGACTGATTTATGAAACAGTGTGTTCCTTCTTATTAGAAAATGTAACTAGCAAAACTTTGGCAATGAGTTCTCACACTGAGTGAATAACTCTACTGGGTATTTCTCAATTTTCTTCTAATTATAAAATTACATAGAGTAATCACCTTCTTCTCTTTAAAAATAGGAAAGCAATTCAAATGAGGATTTTGTTACTTGTTATGCCTCACAAGAATCTCTAAATATTTAGCCAGTTATATTACCCTAATGATACAAAATGAAACACATTTCCTAAGGAAAACAAAAAAGTTCTACTAGATGAAGCCTTGGAATCAGAAGGGTTTATTCTTACCTTTGCTACTGAATAGCTGAGTAAGCTTGAACCACTTACTTGCCACTTGGACTAACTTGTTTCTACATCTATAAAATGAAGTAATAATTCCTTCCAAACTGAGTTCACAAAGTTCTGTATCTCAAAAAGCATATGAAAATACTCTAAAATTAAGCCACTATAGTCATGTTAAATTATAATAGCTTCTTTGGCAGAAGGCTTACTCAAATTTCCAGTCACTTAAAGAGTTTCTAACAGAAGCAGTTTCTACTACACACAATCCAATCAACATTTCAATAAACTTTCATATGAAGTAATATTTCCCACTCACTGTCAATGAGTCTCTCAAACAGTCTGATGAGGACAGCAACCCTATCCTTTATTTTAAGGAAAAACACTTTCCTTGTTTAGCCTTTTTTAGAGCTGTTCCCAGAAATAATTTCATATCTTAAAACTACAGCTCCAAGAAATGGTAAAATCAACACATTATGTTTAACAGCGGGACTGGAGGTATAAATCAACTCAGTTGCAAACTACTCAGCACCTTGGGCCTCTGTCTACCTCTCTAAAATGGAAACAATGATACAACTCCTGCTAGATTGCTTTACGAATTGTAAATAGCATATAGGCATCTCTTAGGTCTCAAGAGGGGTGGCTAGACTTCTGAACACACCAACACATAAACTTAAAACTCCTGCCTGTTCCAACCCCTGCAGATCTGTTACCAAGCTGATTTTGTTCAAAATGGCCAGAAGAATAAAGCAAAAGGCAGTAACTTCAGAGGCAGAGCCTGCACTGGAGGACCAGGGATCCCAGTTACTCATTCATCAAGGCTTCGCTCGGCCTCCATCAGAAACGTGTGAGCATCAAAATCAGTTACGTTTGTAAGCGAGGAAGCTACCGAAAAAGGAACTGTGGAAGCACTACCATTACCGGCAACAATGTTTCGCCAAACTGTCAAACACTGTCAAATTGTGTTTCTGGCCTGCAAACGAGCCTTGAACGACTTCATTGCTGGACACGGAGTCCCCGAAGGCAGAAATGTCACAAACCCCGCTACTACCACGAGCCACGGCGGCGGCTCTAGATACCCCGAGCGCGGTCAGACGAGGTCGAAACATTGCCTCTCCGATGGCAAAAGGCTCCCCGGCCGCTTCCACAGGTCAAGCGCCTGCCCGGGACGCCTGCCCGGGACTCCTGCCCTGGCCCGAGGCAGATCGCGGCTACAGCCCCGGCACCACACCTGTCTCCGCGCTCCCCGAAGACTGCTCTTCCCTCCTGAGGTCTGCGGCCACCGTTCCTGGGCAACTGAGAAGCCTGCGAAGAGGGCACTGGACTTGGCTTCTCTGAGCGCTCAGGGACAAACGGGTCAATAGCCCGACGCCGCGAGCCGCCATTGTCAAAGAGGCAGAAGCACGAACTAAGGGGCGCCCGGCCTTCGCGCATGCGCGCTGAGGCGAAAAGGATGGGAAGCCTAGAGGGTCAAACTAGGCAAAAGACGTTTCCCTTAGAAAATAAGATGCGAACTGGGAAGACCCAGAGGGATTGGGTGGAGAGGGAGGTGGGAGGGGGGACCGGGACGGGGAATACAGGTAAAAAAAAAAAAAAAAAAAAGAACTATTTTCAACAATGGAAAAAAAATAAATAAATAAACATATTGTAAACAGTTTAAAAAAAATAAAATAAAAATAAAAAGCAGGCAGAGGAAAAAAAATAAAAATAAAAAAATAAAGAAGCCATGGTTTAAAAAAAAAAAAAAAAGAAAGAAAGAAAATAAGATGCGGCCTGAATAAGGATACCTGACCTTTCTGACATGTTTTAAATATTTCCACTCTCCCACGGTTCTCTGAAAGAAGACGCTCAAGAGAACGAGCAGGCGACTTACTCTTTCACATTGAAAATAGAACCAGAGACAGGGGCATGAGGAAAGGGCGCTGACTTGGGAATCTAAGAATATAATAAACTCTTAACGTTTTTTCTTTACCAAACTCTAAGCCCTTGACGTGTATTGACTTTTTAGGAACTCTTATTATGCCCATTTATTTATGGGGACGTTAAGGCGTAGAGAAGTTAAGTAACATTCCTAAAGTTCTACAGCCAGACGGGTAGAAATGGAAGTTAAACCTAGGTTTCATAGTACAGGGTTTCCCTTCCTCCCTCCCTCTCTCTCTCCCTGTCATTTTTTGGTAAGATTTTTATTGAGATTTAATTCATATACTACAAAATACACCCTTTTAGGTGCATCATTCAGTGATTTTTAGTATACTCACGAAAATGGGCACCAATCACCATTATTTTGAGAACACTTTCATCACCTCCAAAAGAAACCTTGGGCCCCTGTCAGCTACCACCCCTAACCACCACACTCCCCCCAGCACTAAATAGCCACTTATCCACTCTGTGTGTCTATGGAATTGCCTTTCTGGACATTTCATATAAATGTAATCATATAATATGAGGGTTTTTTTTTTTTGTCACTAGCTTCTTTCACTGGATATGATCATTTCAGGGTTGATCCATGCTGTAGCATCTATCTGCACCTTATTTCTTTCTGTGGCAGAATAATATTCCATTGTGTGACTATGCCACAAGTGGTTATCCAGTCATCATTTAATGGGCCTTTGGGTTTTTTCCACCTTTTTGTTACTATAAATAATGCTGCTATGAATTTTCATGTACAAGTTTGTGTGTGAGCATGTGTTTTCACTTCTCTTGGGTATATACCTAGGAGTAGAATTGCTGGGTCATATGTTTAACTTTTTGAGGAACTGCAGGCTATTTTCCATAGCTGCTGCATCATATTCATTCTCACGACTAGTTTATGGGTGTTTCAGTTTCTCTACATTCTTGTCAATACTCCTTATTATCTGTTTTATTTATTTATTCCATTCTATTTTTGTTCAGTAGAATTCTAATTATAGCAAGTTTTTAGAATAAGCAAGTCCACACATTAATTTAGCCATTTAAAAATTAAACATAGAATTCTTGAAGGATAATGGATAGTGTTTTATTTTTTAAACTGTGTGGTGGGGCTACAATTGTTCATTGGATCAGAATTCTTCTTACCATACACATGTTTATAAATGTTATTTTGTATCTACTCAATATTTAATGCAAAGTTACATTCAGGTCATCTGATTATTTTCTAGTTAATGAGTGCTGCTTTGGAAAGTCCAATGCATATACATTTTGGTCAATAAGTTGGTGATTCTGGTTAGCTGAGGTCAGTTCATTCATGTTTCTCTATGTCTATCAATAATTTGCCCCCACATTGCTAAGGAATAGGTGGATGGGGGAGGAAAGGAATGGGAGGTTGTGACTGAAAGATGCAAATTATTATATATAGAATGGATAAGCAACAAGGTCCTATTGTATGGCACAAGGAACCATATTCAATTCCTGTGGTTATTATAGTGGAAAAGAATATGAAAAAAGAATATATATATAACTGAATCATTTTGCTGAAATTGAAAACCAGCAGAAATTAACACATTATAAATCAACTATATGTCAATAAAAAAAAAAGCTACTCCCATAGATTCTCTCAAACATGGGTAAAAAGAGCCAAACTTTGAGGTATTATGAATATTTGTTACAGATGGCAGCCTTAATTTATTGACTTACAGAGTTTAGCTTCTATTGTGGATTGAATCGTGCCCACCCCTTTTAAAGTTATACTGAAGTCCTAACCCCTAGAAACTCAGAATGTGACCTTATTTAGAGATAAGGTTATTACAGATGTAATCAGTTAAGATAAGGTCAAGTGAAGCGGGGACAGGGGGTATAACGGGTGTCCTTATAAGAAGGCGGCCAGGTGAAGCCAGACACACAGGAAGAATGACAAGTGATGACAAGGTGGAGACTGGAGAGATGGAGCCAAAAGATGGCCAACAAGCCACAGAATTATCCTACAGACTTCAGAGGGAACACAACCTTGCTAACACCTTGACTTTGGATTTCTATCCTTCAGAATGGTGAGACAATAAATTTGTGTTATTTTAAGCCACCTAAATGATGCTATCTAATGAGGAGGGAAATTAGGGGCTGAGGAGCATAGAAATGAGAGACTTTTGACATTTAGCATTTTTAAAATTAATTAGTGAGTTTGGTTGCCTCGGGTCTTAGTTGTGCCACTTGGGATCTCCATTGCATCGTGAGACTCTTCTGTTACAGGGCACCGACTTAGTTGCTCCGAGGCATGTGGGATCCTAGCTTCCTGATCAGGGGTTGAACCTGCGTCCCCTGCATTCCAAGTGGGTTCTTAACCACTGGACTACCAAGGAAGTCCCAGCATTTAGTATTTTTTTTTTTAAACAAACAGGTATTATTTTTATCATTCAAAAGGAAAAGGAATCCTTTGAAGATGAAAGCCAGTAGAAAAAGAGTAAGGAAATTCTTAAATCGTGTCTACATTTCATATACCACACAGTGCTTTTTACATGTTAAGCTGGTCTTTGATAAAATGTGAAAGTGTGTGATTTAAGCCTCCAGAGGGCATATATTCAGTGGTGCTCATGTAATTATTAACTCCACACTCTCACTCTCACAAGTATTCCAATTCAGAGGATAAATTATCTGGCTACCTTACTAATGGCCTTTCACTTCGTGGTTTCCTGTTCAAGTCACCAAGAAGGATTTTCATGTTCAAAGCTGTGTATTTTGTCTGAGAACAGCTCAGCAAGCAGAAGTGCAAAAAGCTTTACTAGCAGAGAAAAGCAAACTTATAATCAGGGGGATTTTGAAAGGCATGAGCTATCACAGTCTCACAATTTCTGAGAAATTATGTTTTTTATCTATAAAATCATGAAAATGTTGCATTCTCTACAATATTTATATTTTTGCTGCAATAGAAAAATAACTATTTTCCTCACTGCTGCTGCTGCTAAGTCACGTGCTAAATTACAGTCAGCCTTCTATGTCCATGGGTTCCACATCTGCAGATTCAGCCAACCTCAGAAGGAAAATATTCAAAAAATAAAATTCCTGAAAATTCTAAAAGACCAAACTTGAATTTTCCCCATGAAGGCAACTATATAACATTTGCTTTGTATTAGGTATTATAAGAAATCTACAGATGATTTAAAGCACAGTTGACTTGAACAACTCGGGTTTAAACTGCATGAATCTACTTACATGTGAATTTTTTCAATAAATATATTGGAACATTTTCTGGAGATTTGTGACAAATTCAAAAAACTTACAGATGAAATTCATAGCCTGGCCTGGAAATGTATTAAAAAATGGTTATGCTATGAATGCATAAAATATATTCAGATATTAGTGTATGGGTTTCCCAGGTGGCTCAGCAATAAAGAATCTGCCCGTCAATGAAGGAGAAGCTAAAGACACATGTTCAATCCCTGGGCCAGGAAGATTCCCTGGAGAAGGAATGGCAGTCCACTCTAGCATTCTTGCCTGTAAAATCTCATGGATAGGAGAGCCTGGCGGGGTACAGTCCATGGACTTGCAAAGAATAGGACATGACTGGGTAACTGAGCACTCATTCACAGTGTATCTTTAATAGGCATAAGGTGAGTGATATTTACTATAAAATTAATGATGGGTTACTTTCCTTATTGCTTTACAGCTTTGCTTTCAAATAATTTCATTACTGTACAATATCCCTCTCATAATTGGAGAAGCTGTGTATCAGCTATCATCATAGGTAAGTGGTTTTTTAAAAAATGTAGCAATGTTTCCAATACTGTATTATGAATATGGCTAACACTCTGTGCCATGAAATTTTATAATGATTCATTTATTTGTGTACGTTAATTGTGAAGCAATCTTATCCATGACACGAGGCAACCATAAAGTTATCAATGCATGATTTGCTATACCTGTAAATAAACAAATTTCCTTTTCACATTATCTTTTCATTTTTGATGGCTAGCATTAGTAATATGTATGACATCTATCATGTTTTGTACCATCTAAGACAATATTGACGTAGGTACTGACAAAATGACCTATGTCATGGATAAATGTATGGATGCATGTATGGATAAATGTATGTGTGGATGGATAAATATAACACAGTACCTGTATTTTCCTTATGATTTCCTTAATAACATTTTCTTTTCTCTAGCTTGTTTTATTTTAAGAATATACTGTATAAGGGTGGAAGAGGATGAGATGGTTAAATAGCATCAATGGACATGAACTTGAGCAAACTCCAGGAGACAATGGAGGACAGGGAAGCCTGGAATGCTACAATCCACAGGGTTGCAGAAAGTCAGACATGATTTAGTGACTGAACAACAACATACAGTATAATATATAAAACATTCAAAAGATGTGTTAATTGACTGTCTATGCTATTGGTAAAGCTTCTGGTCAACAGTATGCTTTAGTAGTAAAGTTTTGGAGGAGTTCAAAGTTATCTGGGATTTCCCAC